TAGATGTATGTTGTCATTTAACCCAGCAAGCAGCTCAGTACCGTAGCTCAATAGCTCACTCCCCTCTTCTCCTGGGAGGATGGGGAAAAGAACTGGAGAAAAAAAGTAAAACTCGTTGGTTGAGATAAAATCTATTTACTAAATCATAAAAGGAAGATAGAAATAATAGCAATGATAACACTATAACTACAAACCAACTGATGCACAGTGCAATTGCTCTCCACCCACCAACTGTTGCCCACCTGCACCCTGCCCAGCTCCCCTCAGTTCTATACTTTTTTTCTCATGACACCATATGGTATGGAATATCCCTGTGGTCATTTGGGTCAGCTGTCCTAGTTCTGTCCCCTCTCAGCTCCCTGTGAGCCCCCAACCCCCCCACTGGCAGAACAGTGTAAGATGCTGAAATACTGAAACATCCTTGACTCTGTGCTGCACTGCTCAGCAAGGAGTACAAACATTGTGTGCTCTTAACACTGTCTTACTCCTGCAGCCAAAACATAGCAGCATATCTGACTCTATGAAGAAAATCAACTCTGTCCCAGCTGAAACCAAGATGCTATATCAGTTGCCACAGCCCTGCTCATGTCCAACTCAAAACAAATACTGACAAACAAATAGGCTGACTCCCTACCTCGCTGTTTTGCTAGCTTGCTTTCTCAACCAGAGGTATAGCGTTAATCTCTAACCTCTTTCCATTCAGAAATACAACCTGTTGTCTCCTTCTCAGATGCACAAACATATCTGGCACAGCAACTAACTTGAAGCACTGCAGTCCAACTATATATATATATATATAGTATGTATAAAACAACTGTGGGCTTGGAGCGGAAAGAAAAGAATCTCAGTGTTGAAACTGTCATGAGCTGAAGATAGTAAGATTTCAGCAGGCAGCCAGGTTATTAGGGTTAAATCTTGCTCTATGCTTCAGATATTAAACTGTAGCAAAGCAACGTGTTCAGTGCCAGAAGGAAGTTGCTCTGGGGCAAAGTCCTTCCTTCATTTTATTATCTCTGTTGTAAAGCAGTGTTATTACAGAATTGTTAAACAGATGTTTCTAATTTTCACTCCATGTAGAGGCAGATTAAATCCAAGCTCTACTGCTATTATTCTGTGATTATCCAAGCAAGTCCATTCTTTGTTTCAGGGAGCTGAAGTGTTTCTTCCTCCTACAACTTTCTTGCCAGCGTTTGCTTCCTTTGATTCTTCTTCCCAACATGTATGTTACTGGCCTTAAGAACCTTAACTTACAAGACATTCTCTAGTCTCTCTTCCATTCTCTTAAAGAACTTCTGCTCATACTTTAGATTTGTAGCCATCTGTCCATAAGACACCCTATCTAATATGGTTTCTGCAAGGGATTTGGGCTAAAATCCCATGTGTGTTCCTAACACTGGTGGCTTGGCACAGGTTATATGTCCCTTCTCAGTCTTGTAAGGTGGCTGATAAAGTAACGTGGACCAGAATGTTATTTGAAGACACTCACTTTCACAGAGGAATCATCTGGTAAGTTAAAAAATATGTCATTTTGAAACTGAAGAGGTATTAAAATGCTTAATTAATTATGATTCTTTGACTTCTCTGGTAATAATGCCATCCTGCTTTTTTTTTTTTTTTTTTTTTAAGGCACCACTTTACATAAACATTTCCTGAAAAAAAAAAAAAAAATCTAATATTCACTTTTTTTTCTCCACAGATTTATTGTTTCATTTTTTTCAACTTGAAATATACCATGACAAGATCTAGGGACTTCTGTAGAGTTTGATGGAATACTCCTCCTCATGAGAAATGTAATGAAAGGGTTTTTATCCCCTTTTATAGAAGATAGGTCTTGCACCTGGGTCAGGGCAACCCCCACTACCAATACAAGCTGGGGGATGTAAGGATAGAGTGCAGCCCTGCCAAAGAAGACCTGGGGGTACTGGTGGATGGCAACCAGACATGAGCCAGCAATGTGCCCTCACAGCCCAGAAAGCCAACCGTATCCTGAGCTGCATTAAAGCAGTGTGGCCAGCAGGGCGAGGGAGGTGATCCTGCCCCTCTGCTCTGTGCTGGTGAGGCCTCACCTGGAGTACTGCATCCAGGTGTGGAGTCCTCATGCAGGACAGACATGGACCTGTTGGAGAACGTCCAGAGGAGGGTAACAAAAATGATCCAAGGGATGGATGGATCCCCCTCTCTACAAGGACAGGCTCAGAGCTGAGACTGTTCAGCACAAAGAAGAGAAAGCTTTGAGGATACCTGATAACAGCCCTTCAGTATCTAATGGGGAAATACAAGAAAGAAGGGGACAGACTCTTTAGCAGGGACTGGGGTGATAGAACAAGGGGAAGTGGTTTCAAGCTTAAAGAGGGGAGATTTAGATTAGATATGCCTTTTACAATGTTACAGATTATTAGTCTTTTATAGTGAGGGTAGTGAGGCACTGGCACAGGTTGCCCAGTGATGACAAGGCTGTTATCGATCTGGTGTCTCTGTTCATTGCAGAGGAATTGGACTAAATGACCTTTGAAGATCCCTTCCAACTCCAAGGATTCTATGATGATTCTTTGATGATTCTATGATGAATATACATACAGTGACATATGTTAGTGCTACTGTGCAAATCACAAATATCTCATTATTTTTCCCTTAACAGCAATTCTAATAACATGAAACATTTTTTCTCACAAGCCCTTCCTGTTTCCAAAATCTCTAATCACACACACACACAAAGATTACAAATAACTTCGCAGAAAATCTTAGCAGATATTCTGTTGTTCAGTTTGGTCAGTTTGTGCTTGTAAAGATGATAGAGGAACCTATAAAAACACAGAGTTATTTCCCAAAGGTGAACCTTCCTTTGAATTTGCAGTTTTGTAACAAGGGAGCATGTAAGAAGATGTGTGGTTGGATCTTTCCACATAATCCAGATCTCAAACTAAAGAAAGAACTCTCAGTTTCAGAAATAACAATTTTTGCTCACCTCTCCTTAATGTGGCCTTCAAAGTGTTTGGGAGTCAAACATACCCCTTCCTGAGGCTGATATTACTGGCATTATAGGCATCTGACTACAGGCACTAATTCTGAACTAGCTGCCTACTTCTTTCCCAGGCCAAGACACTGAAAATCTTTAGTTTTGTTTCTGAACTCTTCAAGGAAAACGACATTGAAGACTCTTGTTTTTTATTCATGGAGTATTGGTCATGCTAAGTCTGCAATCTTCTTGAGAAGCTGTGTCTAAAAATGTAAGCATTTATTTTAAGACCTACAGCTGCCTTTTTTTTTTAAAAAAAAAAAAAAAAAAAAAAAACTTCCAGCACGGATTTTTATTTATTTATTTATTTATTTTTAATCTGTAGAAAGAATGTGCAGTTTTATAATCTTGTCCTGAAAGCATGCCATCACCTAGAAGATGAAATATCTCTGGACTTCGAAACTGCTTGTTACTAGTTTGGTATGGAAAGCTATGTATGTATGTATATATGTATGTATGTACGAATGAATAACCAGGTGGCTTGTATTTGAGCAGTTTCAGTCATCATTCAGTTCTGCTTACTCATTCACCATCACCAGCCATGTAGCCCAGCAGCTGCAGGCTGCTGACTTCCTAGTGGTGGTCTGAAACAATTCAAGAGATTTCTGGGGTGTCCTCAAACCAAAGCCTGTTATTTGATTTCTTTTTCTGTTCAGGGCTAGCAAAATCAGCAGCTGTGCAAGACAGAGCTGGCTGCTCTGAAATAAGTAGCAAGTGGGGAGGTCTTGACTCCACCAGTAAGTGCTTTCCTTGCGGGTGTACAACTGCTTGCTTCTCATCAGGAAGTCTTCAGTAACTGACAAGATTTTTCTACCTTTTCCTTTACATGTAGGTAGATTCTAATTGTGAGTTTTATAATGAGCACATAAAGTGAAAACGCATACTGCAAACCGAGGGCTATTTCCTTGAATTTCTGTGTGGAGTCTTTAGGCCTGTGGGCTGCTAGCAAGGATGACAATGATTCAAAACAGTGGGGGAAGTGTTAACACAGAAATGCATGCAAAATTTACAGTTCAGAACTGGAAAACAGCTAACTTGGGACACGAGAACAAGATTATCTCTCCAAGAACATGCCAACCTGGAAAATGCTAGCATCGATTGTGGGTATTATGTGGAACAAAGGAGATACCTTATAGCTGGAGTGTGCAATAAACTGTCAGCCAAGGCCCAGCCTGCATGAGGTGAGGTGGCTGCAGGAGGTCTGTGGATGATTCTGAAGGGCTGGAGCTGCATCTCTGTGCATCACACAGCCTCACTTTGCTCGTGTTTTCCTTGTTGAAGCCTGGCCCCGGCTCACGCACAGTGAAAGGCATCATGGAATGCCAGCCTTCGTGGCAGCCCAAGGGCTGCTGCCCTGTGGGCCTTTTGGGGCAGGCGGAGGAATCACAGCCGTGACTACAGAGGGCTCTGTGGAAACCTGAATAAAATGATTCCTGCACCGTTAGGCAGCAAACATTCCCAGCAGCGAGGGATTTCCATAGCACTGGTGCAGCAAAGCTGCTCTCCAACTCAGCAGCTGTTCCGAGGCAGCAGCTCTGTAAAACATCACCATTACGAAATTACGATTCCCCCGCGAGCACTGTGCTGGAACTATTTTTCTTTTTTAAGTTGGATTAGCGGTCTCTGAGATGAAGCAAGGGCTGCCTGCCAGAACATCCAGCCGCATAAATAACGCTGGGTGCAAAGGCAAGCAGAACCCACACCCCGCGGTGCTGCGGGGGCTGCCGCTGGCGGCTCTGAGCTCCCCGAGGTGGGCAGACCTCACTCTTCGCAATAGTCTGAGGGGGGGGGGAATCTCACCACCATCCAACCCCGCTCAGCGCCTTCCCTCCGTGTCCGGGATTCGAACCTACGGTGAGGGGTGCAATAGGGCCCGGCTCCGCGGCCGCCGGCTCCGACTGCGCATGCTCGGGTTGGCGAGGCACACGTGCAGTTGGCGCGCAGGGAGCGGGGGGGAAACGCGCGTGCGTAAGCGCCTGCCTGCGCGCATTCGCTGTGACGCGAGGGCGGGAGCGGGCGGCGGCCCGTGGGCGGTTCGGGCCGCGCTACTTGTGCCGGCCGCGGGGCGCGGTGCGGCGCTGCCGCGATCGCCTGCCATGGAGGAGCAAAAAGTGAGTGATGCTGCCGGGCCAGCCGTCCCCCGGTCCCGCGGGGCTCCGGCTGGCTGTGGGGCTGGGGAGGGCTCGGGGTGCCCGGGCGGCGTGAGCGAGGCGATGGGGACGCGGGCGCTGGGAGCCGGTGGTGCCCGGTGGTGCCGCTGTCCGGGGCCGGGGTCGCGGTCGCGCCGTGCGTTGCCGGCCCGGCGGAGTCGGTGTGGGACGGGGCGGTGCGCCTGGCCCGGAGCTGGGTGTCTAAATACGGAGATGTGCAGAAAGTTCTGACTCAGCCCTTCGGCTCGCGGGCCTTCGGGCTGCTCTGCTTTCCCCTGCCTGGAAGCTGCCTCGTGAGCAGCGCTGTGTTGCTCGTGGCCTACATCACTCGGATTAGGGGGCTTTGTTATCTTTCTCATCCGTAAGCGTTTCTGTGCTGATGCGTCATGCTCACCGGTGCTTCTGAAGGTGAGGTCGCCAAGCAGTGCCTCCGTTGTACTGCGTTAGCCGGGGAGGGCTGCAGCTGCTGTGGGTTGGTGCGCCTGGTGCCTTCAGCCCTGTGTGGGTCTCAGAGCTCTGGGTGCAGTAGTACAGTTGCAGTTCATCTCCGATTTCACGGTGTTTCGTCTGCTAATTTGCTGCTGCCTTCAAATTCTGGCGACTTCAATGTGTGGAAGAAGTGCAGCAGGTTAGGCTAATGGAGGCAACGGAAGCGTGTCCTGTTTGAAGCGTGGTCGTTATGAGACTGAATTTAGGCTGCTTCGGGAGCTCCATTTTGCGTCCAACCATGTCACAAAACTGATCTTGAGCAAGCTGACAACTTGCTATTTAAACAGAACTGATGTAACTCCATTGAAGTTTACTTTTCGGCTCCAGCCAGGTTTGCATCTGCTTCAACAGGTGTCATGCAATGTCGGTTACCAGTTATTCAGAGGAGGATATGTTGTTTTGCTCTTACGCTGCCAGCAAAGCTACAAGATGCTACATGTTGCACAGCTTCATCTCCTCTTTCATGCCCTTTTATACTTTCATCCTTCCTACATGAGCACATAGCGCAAGATCTAATACATGTTAAAAAAAAGTATACTGGCAATGTTTAAAAGCTGACTTTGTTCTAATGGCTTGAGCATTGGTGGTGTATTGGATCAATGTGGTAAAGTTTTGGTAGCAGAGAGGCTGCAGAGGTGGCCTTTGAGAAGAGACCAGGGCTGTCCTTGTGTCAAACAGGGCCAATTCCAGCTGGCTCCAAAATGTGCCCACTGCTGGCTGCCTGGATATCACCAGCAGCACAGATAGTGCTTCTGTGATAACACAGCATAAGAAATGTAAAACAAAAATCACTGTGCAGGTTCTCTTGTGAAAGAAGTAAGGAAAGTGGGAGAAAAGCAGCCCTGCAGCCACCAAGGTCACTGCAGAAGGAGGTCAGGAGATATTCCAGGTGCCAGAGACAGGAGTTCCCTGCAGCCTGTGGGAGAGCCCCTGGTGGAGCAGCCTGTGTGAAGGAATGTTTCCCTCCCCTAATCTGTTATCCAAATTGGCAGTAAGTTAAATTATACTTTCCCAAGCTGAGTCTGTTTTGCCTGTGGTGGCAACTGGTAAATGATCTGTTTGTTCTTGTCTTAACCCACGTGCTTCTTCACCTCATTTTGTCACTGTGCCCTGCTAAGGAAAGGGAGTGGAAGAGTTCTTGGTGAGCACCTAGCCACTGGCCAAGGTTAACCTGCCTCAGGTGGTCAAGAAAAGTACACTGTAATGTATTTTTAGGCCTCTTACATCTGTGTTTGCAGAAGGCGTGTTACTCTTCAAGTTTCATCATACTGGGTGGAATTTGTTTGGAGACATTTGTGGTTTATTTAAAAAGTTCTGTACTGGTTGACTGGTCGCTGTAACTTCAGGTGTGGAACACCTTGTTTGCTAGTTTGCTTAGATTTGCTGCTGTACTTTAGATCAATTGTTTAAAGAATTACTAGGTTTTCTTCAAGTGTAGATCTTTTCCTTTAGTCACACACATCTATGAAAGCCAAAAGCATTGTTCAGAACTATGTACAAGAAGACTAATTTTTTTCTGCATGGAAGGACTGACTAAGCCCTAAAATCCCAGCTGAAAGAGGATTGGGAGTTTTCTTGTTCATCCAAATTGACAGTTATGTTTATAGGATCTAAGGCTTAACTGTGGGCTGACATGCAAAAACAATTGCTTCTGGTTGGTAATGAATGTAGAAGCAGCTGGTTGGATGATTGCATTTATCTGGCAGTCTGTGCACAAAGGTGTCTTTTAAATATGTTAGACTTTAACCCAGTAATGAGCAGATTCTGTAATGAAGTGATGAAGACTTGCTGCACTCACTGTTTCTGCAAGAAACCAACCTGGCTTTGTTTTTGCACCTGAGAGTTTGAATTCCAGGCGTTGCTTGCAGTTGCATTATGTCTTTTTCAGCATGTGTTGTGTAAAGCAGCAGAGTTTTTACTTTCCTCTGATAAAGCATGACAGTGTGCAAACAGGCAGTGGGTCACAGTCCCAGTAAATGCATCATAGAGGATTCTTTAAATTGTGAGGAAGGGGATCAGGAGAAAATGGGCTTGGGAATATTGGAAAGGTTTCTTAAAGGCAAGGTGACAAAAGGGTTCACTGTAGAACTAGATGCTATTAAGGGATAAAACTTTTTTCTTGCTTTTTAGCAGACATGAGATCTTTAGTAAAGAGCTAAGAAATTGCTTGTGTGGAGGGAGGTGGAACATTAGATAATGACCTCTGTGACATCTTTTAAGTAGCACACCTCAAAAACTGGCTTACAAGCTCCTCCATCTGCTTTGATTTCCTGTGTTGTAAGTAACAATGTTAAGCATAGCAACTCGAAACTGAGTCAAGCTGAATAATAAATCCTAATTACAATTAAGACAGCTTTCACTTTAACAAGAGGTGTAAACATAGTATTGTAGATTCAGATTTGTTTCAAGAACTGATTTATTTGGTATTCTGATTTGTACAGAATTTGAACTTTACAGTAAGACTGAGTTTTTTAAGTACCAATACTTGATGTATTTTATTAGTCTTCAGATACGAGGATGGCTTGTTAAAATTAAGCTTGTAGTCTGTTTTAATTTAAAAAAGCACTTCCTTAGCAATTTTTCATACTGAGTACATATTTTGCAAATTTAATCTTCTGCTTTTTAATGGCTGGCAGCAGTATATCACAGAGAACCTTCCTAGTAATCACTTAGCTTTTGTCTTTGAGGTTGCTCTTACTTAGACTACACAAAGTATTTACCGAAGTATTTCACAGTCTGCAGAATAAGCTTACAAATAGCTACTAGCTTTACTCTGCTGATCACGTAGGATAAGCTGTTAGCTTAGTTATTTACTCTACTTTTTTTTTTTTTACAGCAGAGATAATGTTAATTTTTCTTCTCTATTTCTTTTCAACTGCTTTATTTTCTTTATTGCTTCTCTCTCATTTGCTTTGCAAAGTCTTTTAGAGAAGTTACGTAGGCCAGTGTGGTGACAATAAGTAGCCTGGCTGTTCAGATGATCTGGGATTTTCAGTATAGTTAAAGTTATTTAACTTAATAAAATGCTTCTTAGGTCATTAATCTTTTTTTCATTACAAAACATATCTTGTGGTCATGTATCAGAAGAGTTGAACTTAGAACATGCACGGTGAATTTTCATGTGTTGAAGTGTTAAGCTGCAGAAGGACCTTGTAATCACTTCTTACTTGTCTTTGTAATTCCAGGAGACTCTGCAAAGGATCATCTCTACTCTCGCAAACAAAAATGATGAAATTCACAACTTCATTGACATGCTGAACCAAACAATACGAAATGTTCAGGTATGTTTGTTAGGATTTGTAGCCTGTATGTGGTGGGAGCAGCTTTTTACCAGGTTTTGTCAGCCTTAGACTGGTTGTGTAGTGTAAAAGGGGTGCAAAAGGAGCAATAAAAATCAAGTGTGAAATATAACTTCATGTTGGAACCAAACAGGAAAACATTTTATTTCCAAAGTTCTGCCTCAGCTTGGAAAGTGTAGTGGTTTTGCTTTTCTAGCAGAAAGCAGTCTGGGGTTTTGATTTGTTTGGAAGAGAATGTCTGATTCTGATGTGTGATGTTAGTGTCTGATTTGGATTCATGCTAGTTGCAAGTTGTCTGTTCTTTCAGACTTCTGTTGGCAGACTGAAAAATGAGACCATCTAAACACTTGAATTCTTTGCTCTTTCCATACTTAGTATTTGCAAATTGTTGGGTTAAAGTCAACTGGTAAACCTAATTTTTAGACCATCTACCTCTTAGCTGAGGTTAAGGTTCTTTTTGTCTGTCAATAAGCAGTTTCTAGCTAAAACTGAGCCAAGTTGATTTCAGAAAATGAAGTTTTCCAGCAAATCTTTAAGATTTTCTGAGTGCAGTTTAGTTTCAAATGAAAATTCTTCAAATAGAACTGTGTAATATCCTGTTTACAAACATCTGGGACCTAACATATAATGGTGAGAGGGGCGTGAATTCTATGCTTTTAGGCACAGAATATAGTTTCCAAATGTTGGTTCTGTGTGAGTTTGAGTATGAGGTTTTTGTGAATTTTAGTTTTTAGCATGCTGATGTTATGTCTGTCTAAAAGGGGGCCCTCCATTTAATATTTAGTGATAAAGTAAGGAATGGTAACAAATGATATTGTAGTCGTGGCAAAGTGCATTTAGGCAAACCACATGATTTTCAGTCTAAAAAACAAGGAAGTCTGCATTGCTTCCACTATAGATTGCAGCTGTTTTCAATTCTTTTCTCAGATAAACTCTTCTAATGTGATTAGTGAATTGGATGATGAATTTGATGCTCTGTATTCTGTTTTGGATGAGATGAAGGGGAGTATGGCTAGCACTATTCAGCAGGAACAGGCTCGTAAAATTCAAGCTCTTCAGGTAAGTGTAAAACATATCTGAGATTCTTTGCAACTGAGAATTTTAAACTGATTTTAAACTACAAGAAATTTTAAACTGATATTTAAAGCCTTACCTGAAAATGAGATTTTTGACAGTGTTGCAGGAAACAGAGTAACTACAAGGTAAATGTCTTTGTGAGTGTTTCTTTGACCTCTTCTGGTCTCAAGTCTATGTTCTAGGTGTTACTGTATATCAAGGAAGTGGTACGATGTAACTTACAGGTGGAGAAAGGCTCTATAGGAGCAGGACATATGCTTTCTATTTTCAAACTAATGAACAACTTTTGGACTGAGATTGCTTTATTTCTCCATTTGGAATATGAGAAACTTCAGTTTGATGCCTGAGGTGATTTTTTGACTTTTTTTTCAGTTTGTATGGAAAATGTATGAGAGTTGCGTAGGAAAATGTTAAACTGGTGCCCACCACTAAACTCATTAAGTACATTTCATGGTTTTATGGTTGTATGATTTAGTGCAGGAGAATCTTTGCAGTGGACTTCAGAGATATAGAAGTGACAGTGCAGCTTCTTGAAATAGGTATAAAATCCATATATTTACAGTAGAGTGTAGCCAGTTAGCACTAGCTGTCAGAAGGTGTAGCTACATGAGGATACGTAGGATAATTAATCCTATAAGCAGAAGCTGCTTTTTTTTTTTTTAGTGTTTTTCATTACATGATTTAACTTGTATCATTCTTTTGCCTCTTAAATCTTTTTCCTTATTTGCTTTTACATGGCATTAAGGAGAAAAAAGGAGCCTTTACTTAGCTAATAATTTTAAAGAAGCTCAAGTAACTGTTTAATACGAATTCCACAGGCTTCCTTACTATGTCTGCTTTACACCAATCTTTAAGTAGGAGGATAAAGCATTCCAAAATTTTTGGGTATATATCTAAAGTTTTATTTTCCCATGTCCAGTTTTATTTTTTCTTTTATTTTTTATTTCTCTTCATGTCTGCTTTAAGACCTTCTGAACATCCTCAACAGATGGTGGTCACGCACCTCTAAGTATACTCAAAAGTTAAGTATTTAGTACTTCTCAGTAATTAACTTTTAGGAGGAATTCAGCTGTAGCTTACATAGATTATTCTACCATATATATATAGTTAGTGAGAGCCGAGGTTCATCTTGTAACACTTCTGGTGGGGAAAGCTATTTTGGCAGTCAGATGATAGTTAGTCAGCTAGCTGCCTGATTTTACTGAGAAATTTTCTGAAGGTTAATCTAATTTGATTGAATGGTATGATTTAAACATGTAGTAAACGCTTGTTACTGCCTGGTATGTGTTGAACAGGGGAGCTACTATTTGCACTGGATGAGGATGAAAACAAATACAATGTTGCAGAAAACTGACACAGTTGTTAAATCACTTATTTATCTTTCAGCTGTGGCTGTTATCTAACTTTTTGGTCCAAGGAATGTTCTCCTTACTTGATGACAGATCAAAATTCCTTTAAGGTGCACAGCAAGAGTGCTTTTTCCTGACAGTGAACCTACTAAAGCAAACTGACAAATAAAAACTGTTGTGTTGAATGCATCAATCTAAACTGTTACCATTGATTGGAATTAAACTTTGTATGAGGAAATCAAAAGCTTTCAGTGTGATCTAAATTTCATGTTTAAGGGAACTTAAGGGATTTTCTTAATTTGTCTTGAAACATTTATATTGGTGTTGCACAGTAGTTTAAAAGACTGAGGATTACATTTTTAAGCTAGTTTCACAAATTTCCTTGGATGTTAGTGCTGAAAATCTAGAAATTACTCTTATTCCTTGCTTTAAAGGTACATTTTTTTTAGGGCAGTGTTTTTTATTAACACTGAAGTTAATAGATGGTTATAGCCAGAGGCTTATGGTTAATGGCTCTGTGTCCAGGTTGAGGCCAGTGATCAGTGGTGTCCTCCAGAAGTCTGTCCTTGGAGCAGTGCTCTTCAACATCAACATTAAGGACTGAAACAGTGAGATTGAGTGCACCTTCAGCAAATTTGCAGATGACACCGAGCCAAGTGGTACAATTGATAGGACAGAAGGAAGGGTTGCCATCCATCCAAAGGGACATTGAAAAGTGGATCCATGTGAACCCAATGAGGTTCAACAGGGCCAAGGGCAGTGTTGCAGTTGGGTCAGGACAATCCCGGATATGGATACAGACTTCTTGAGAGCAGCCCTGTGGAAAAGGACCTGCACATTCTGGTGGATGGAAGGCTGGACATTAGCCAGCAGTATGTGCTTGCAGCCTGAATGGCTAATTTTACTCTGGACTGCATCAAAAGATGGACAGTTAGCAGGGTGAGAGGTAACTGTCACCCTCTTCTCTGCTCTTGTGAAGCCCCATCTGCATAACAAAGATGTGGAGCTGTTGGTGTGGATCCAGAGAAGGGTGACAAAGATGCTCAAAGGGCTGGAGCACCTCTCCTACAAAGACAGGCTGAGGGACCTGGGCTTGTTCAGCCTGGAGAAGAGAATGCTTTCTAGTACTTGAGAGGCACTCACAAGGGAGATTGACCTCATATGAAGTCTGTTAGTGATAGGACAAGGGGAATAGCTCTAAACTAAAAGAGGGCAGGTTTGGCTTAGTTCTCGGGGGAAATTCTGTCCTCAAAGTGGTAAAGCACTGGAACATGCTTCCCAGATAAGCTGTGGATTCCCTGTTCCTGAATGTGTTTAAGACCAGGTTGGGTGCAGCCCTGGACAGCCTGATCCAGTGGTTGGCAACCCTACCCACAGCAGATGTTGGGACTGGGTAGGTTTTAATGTTCCTTCCATCCCAAGCTGTTCTATGAAAATACTACTTGCTTTTAAATTGTTTTGAGTTATTACAGTGTATTGTTACATGGTTAGAAAGACATGTTGAATGGCTGTAGAAAAGCTGCTGCCAGGTGTAAAATGTGTGTCTTGCTTGACCTGCAGTTTGTTTACAGTCCTGTGGAGTGTTCGTAATTAATCTGCTTAGAGCGTGTATCCATAGTTATGTTAGAGATTCCTTACTAACTACTTTATTTACTGGAAATGGTAGTTTATTAATGGTTAATTGTCAATTGATCCTTGAAAAAGTTTCTTATTGCTCTTCTTTATCTGTTCCTCTTTCCTTGCCATCATTCATTATATTATACTACTTGTTTTTAAGATACCTATGCCAGTTGTAGAGCTGGATAGGAATAAAAGGCCTTTTTTTTTGTTACAGCTGCAAGTTTATTGATGGAGGACAATTTCGTAGGTAGAAATAAGAGCATACATGGACTTTGGCATCTCATAGTTTCTGTAAACCTAATGTTGTGAGAATCAAATCTGCCTTTTATATACCTATTCAGCTCGATTTCCCTTTTGGGTTTCTGGAATGTGCTTTATACCACTGTGCATTTGTCAAGCACAGTGAAGTTCTAGTTAAAACTCACTATATGTCAACTAGCTAAGGTAACCTTGTAAGTAATTAAAGAGGCATAGCAAAGCCATGTAACTGTAACACTAGTACATAGCAAATAACCTTTTAAATATGAATGCATAAAAATATTCTCTTTTCTTCAGAATCAGCTTAGCCAGTGTAGTAATGCCCTGGAGAGTTCTGAAGAGCTGCTGGAACTTGCTGCGCAGTCGCTGGACATAAAGGACCCTGTGAAATTCTCAGAGGTAGAAAATGTTAAATGGATGTGTGTTAGGCAGGTGCTGGTGTTTCGATTAATTTCTAGTAGCTTCTGTGTTATGGTAATGGACTCAGCAGAGTACTAACTGTGTTGTTTAGCCTGTAGTGTTGAGTTTTAACTTGCTTTTGTCAAGCTGGCCTAGTAAGATGTGGTGTTCAAGGAAGTTTAGCTTGTGGTCAAGCTCAAATGTGATCATCTGGGAGTGCTCACAGAATTATATGAATAAAGTTCAGTAACTTTTTCCAGATGAATTAGTAGTAGAGGCTTGCAATACAACTGCACATCTTCAGGCAGTTCCTTGGAGCTTTAGCTGCATCAAAAGTACAGGGGAAAGCTGAATATCTGTAGTAGAGCTTTTAACATGGGCCATGGTGGACTCAACTTTGGGACATTTGTTGCTTCATTGCAGATGTGTGATGTTGCTGATTGGGCAAAAAGAAGTTGCAGAGCCTCTACTTAGTTCCTGTATAAGTACAGTTAACCTGTTACGGTTATCTTTATGTTGCTCTAGTATCAGTATCACTTAATGATATTTAAGTATTAAAAAAGTTTGAGACCTTACACACACAGCTGTGAGGCCTTTCTAAATTGGTCCATCATGACTGCTGCTATGTGGATTCTCTACTAATATAGATGCTATCTTATTTAGTGTGAGGACGAAGGAAAAGGAATGTCTTTTTGTATATAGCTAATAGTGTTCAGCAAATCTGTATTGATGCTAGTAAGTCAACCCAGAAAGCGATGGTGAAATAAATCCCTATGAAACTGAACTGAAACCTTGTGGTAATCAGCCCTTAAAACCATGGCAAATGTCTTGTTATTTGCCCTACACTATTGCATGACACTTGCAAAGTGTCCCAGTATTCTAAATGCAGTTGTATTTGTTTTGCAGAACTTCATGAAGGCTATGGAACTCATATTTATAATCTGAACCCTTTGGCTCAGACCATCAGATCTCATGAAACTGAATTCAGGACAACTTTTCCTATATTTCCCAAAACCTGCTAATGTATACTATGAAGGCTAGAGCCAGATCTGGGCCTTGCATTGTGATTCTAATACAAATAATGCAAGCTTTATCTCAGCACACTTGTAAATGAGAGCCAGCATATGCCTAGCTGGAAGAAGGATATGGTTACAAACGAGTTAAACTGTTCTAGGTATACAATGACTCAGTACAATGGGTTCTCTAATATAAATTTAATAATTCTCACAATAGTAGCAGGGTCAGTTCCACCAAATCCATGACCAAATTATTTTTTCTTTCCATCTTTTAATGGGAACAAGAATGCAAATTACTCCAGAGGATTGGGCAGGAAAGCTGTCTTACATTGCCTTTTTATACCTCTTGGCAACATGTGTGCTGTCTTGCTTTGAGTGTCGGTTTTGATTCATTTGCCTTGAAAAGTAACAATTCCTAAACTAAATGTCTTTCCTAGCACTTCAGTATGGGTTGTCTTTTCTGACTTGTAGTGATGTACAAAGATTGTTAACTCTTGATCAGCATGTAGAATGCAGCTTTCTATTCTCTGTAAGTTGTTTGTTTACAGATAATCAATCCATAATGTTTTTATTCCAATCAAATATGCAAAGGCAAGTTATTGAATGTTTAGGAGAAAATGTCTTTAAATTTGGAGTTTGAGGCTTAAGATACAGGAGTCCAGTTCACTGAGCTCCCCAAATTGAGGAGCTTTTACAGTAGTTTGAACTTAAAAATAAAAAAAAAAAAAACACTCAGGTGTTTCAGGTGTAGTAATACTGAATTGACTATTAGCTAGTTAAATCTACTGGGCTATTAACTGGAATACCTTTTTTAATTGGCATATGTTTTTTTTTGGATCCTGCAATAAATCCATTCAAGAGAAACAAGCTCAAGACTAGGTTGTATTTTTTAGTGTAAATTTTTTTAATACTTTTAATGAGTTAGATTACCTGGAGGTCAGAGCATGCTAGAGTGCTGTGGTTGGATAGGATGTGATTTGACACTGCTGTGCAGCCAACATGAAATTGGCTGAGAACCCTTTCTTGTCAGTGGTCTGGAAACTAAATTCAAAGGAGTTAAGACAGGGCTGCCTTGCAGAGAAATGTGTTCACTGAATCCTGAATGCCACATATTCCACCAGATGTAGAGATTACGAGGAAGGGTTTGTAAGTAACAGTGACTTGTCTACAGCTGTCACATAGGAAAATCAGTAACAGTTCCAGTGATAACTTTGGTTTAATATAAAACAAAGCTATCTCTTAAGCTAGATTATTTATGAACATTTGTTCTTTCTAATTCCTGCTTTGGAAACATAAGATTATTTTTATATAGGAGGGATATCTTTTTTCCCCCACTTATTTATACTTAGAAAAAAACTGTAGGTCCCTCATTTGTTTGGCTTGCAAGTTTATGTACAGTCTTTGGGAAGGATGGTAGTAAAGATGGTAAAGTGAAGATGAATGCTACTTTAGTAGCAGTGTTAACTCAAATAGATATTCAACAGGTCTCCCTAAGCCATCATGACTTCTACAATAATGTTTTCACTTTGCAGTTCCTCTTGGTGAGGGACTGGGATTTTTGTCTTTCCAAATGCTGGTTAAGATTTGTCTTTGAAATATGACATTGGTTCTGCATCATCTTCATTGTTATCACTTAAATACTGAGGAAAAACTGTTTTGTATTTTGGGATTTTGGTGTACAGTCACTGCCTTTTAGGAAGTGGTGTTGGAGTAGTAATTTTCAAAGGAAACATGTTAGTCCTATCTTTTGTGTGAATATACAACATGGATAACTCAAGTATGGCTGAATACCACTAAACACTTTCCAATTTAAATGGGAATAACAGTCATTAAATTTTACCAACTTATTCACGGGGCTCTTTTGAAATATAATGGAGCTTAACATAACTGATGCAGAGAAATCTGCAGAGACAAAATTACAGACAGGAAGTTTGGTAATTTGGAGCTGGTTTCCTGTGGTTCTTGAGACTGATTTGTTTCCAGGTAATATACGTTGTTGCAATTCTAACTAACACTATTAACATGCTTTATGGAAATTTTTTTTAATGCAAATGTTGAACTTGTTTTGATTCTCAAACCTGAGCAATAGGAATGAGATTGTTCTGTCTTCTTGCATGGTACTGCCTTTGAGACTTGCATGAAAATGCTAACTACCTTTTCTCTCTTCTCCCTGATGTGCCTCAAGGCTGCCAGACAGATCAAAGATAGGTACAGTACAAAGCCTACACTTTTTGTCTCTTTGAATTAGTTTTATCCTTGAAAATGCATTTATTTTTAAGGAACATAGTCAGCTTGAATCAAATTCATGGTTTTTGCTTTCTTAAGTGTTCCTCATGACATCACAACTTACGAAAGAGAACTAAAACTTTTTTTCAGTGTTGTTCCTTGCTGGTTCCAGACCTTTCATCCCTTGATAAAGAGTTGTTTTTAACATAGGGAAACATATTTCTAATGCAAAACTTCTGATTGCTTTAGTAGCTGGTGGGTGAGGTTGAATAATATTTCAAGCTGACTCTGCTCCTTTAAATTGTGATCAAGTCTTGATTAATTTATTACCTCTTACAGACTTTTGCTAGCTAACTTCAGGTATTTCTGATGATATCACTGAACTGTTTTAAATTCATTATTTCTACTGGGTTTTCATTGTGCAGTGTCTTGAAACTACTGTTTAGAAATGGAATGTTTCTGTTTCAAAATAAATGCTAAGATCATCTTCTTAAGCTGAAAGTGTTAATTGTACTCTGAGAGTCTGACACCCTGGTTCAGAAAGTTTCCTATGTTGTATGTAACAATTATAACCCACTCACAGGATCTTACCTATGTATATTACTCCTGCTGACCAAATTGGTTTGCTTTCAGCTTACATATTTTCAAGGGAGAATCTGCTTGTCTAAATTGTCTTGATGTTTATATAAAAGGAGTGATTGATGAAAAATCTTCACTTTTCCAAGGGTAAAGAACTGAAGTAGTTAACAAATCAGATGGATGGTGTCAGTGATAGATATTTTAGCTCTTTAAAATTTAATTCATACTTAACCGTTAATACTTAAGGAGGTATCCTCTTATCCTTTCTGTTTTCTTGAAATGCTCTGTAATCTTGCCTTTGAACCAATTGTGACAGGTTCCTCAAGAGAAGTTAATAATGGCACCTCAAGAGAAGTTAATGTCTGGAACTGACTTAATGTTCTGTAAAAGCTAATCAGAGCATTTTACTTTCCTAAGAGGAGATTTAGTCTAACAGTCAGGTCAGGTAGTGGAATCTGGCTGTTACCTGCCCACACTGAATTTCAGGAAGTTACTGTGCCTTGGGATATTGTCTGTTTTACTGTGCTCATTTCATTGTCATAATAGTCCTGTGTTTCCCCAAACTATAATCTTCTCATGCTTGTATATTTAATGCACACCTTCATACTCATTCTTCTTTCTTCACTGCCTAACATTTCAATGTTTTTTATTATTCTTTAATGTAACTGCAGTTAGCACACCATCTCTATTATATGCCAGTGAAGAACATGATACCTCATGGAAATGATATGCATTAGGTGTTCTGAAGATGTATCAGACCTGTGCGTGTAGATTGGGTGTTAGTGTTTCCAGTTGACTATCTGCTAATGTTGACTATCTGCTATTTTGTTGTTAAACTTTTTTCTACAGCAGGAACAGATCCTTGTGCCATCTCAAATCAATGTCATCAGACCATGTGGCAGAATTTGAATGACTTCTGTATTAAAGAACCAGAAAATAGACTTACTCTTCTATTTTGGTCTAGTCCATGTAGTACTAAAGTATCCTAAGAATATTCATAATGTCTAATCTAAGATTCCAGAAGTGGAGTAGTGCTTTGATATGTCTTATGAGGCTGATCAAATACTTGCATGCTCCAGAGTTCTGTTTATCTGCAACCTTGGCATTTCATCCATGCATAAGAATCAAAATCACAAGATCCAGGTTTTTCACTGATGTTTATTAATGGCTTTCAAGCAACATTTAGTTTTAGAAAATGCATTCTACTTTAAGTAGTTAATGAATCTTGTCCTTTTTGGACTTATTAAACTTAGTGTTTTACATTTGAAATTCCTGAATATGTAAAACGCAATCTAATTCTGCACTGTTTTAGATTTTTATGCACTTCCTCATTTTGTGTAAGGTAATACAAGTTCTTTGTTTCAAATCAGATTCTAAGGCATTAAAGACAGGCTTGAAGTTTTCTCTAGTAATTTTTAGTATCTCTCTCTGTCTAGTAAGGGAATCACCGGGAACTTGCACTGTAGTCTCTTTGAGACATCAGAACTATTTTGGAATCTGTGCTAAACAGTTATGAAAGACTAGAACACTTGTAGTTTAGAGTATTTTTTTTGGCTAACAGTTTGAAACTAAAAACACAAGTGATCTGATTGCTGTTTCTGAAACTGACTACAGGTCTTAAACAATGCAAAACATGTTTTGCTAATACTGCTTTCCTGACTTTAGAGTCACAATGGCTTCAGCATTTCGCATCTCTCTGAAACCAGAGGTCAGTGACAGTATGACTCATTTGATGGTGGACTTCACCCGGGAAAGGCATGCACTCCAGACTGTTAAGTTTTTGCCAGGTAAAACTGTATGCAGTGAGTTTAATTTGTTACTACTTCAATAAGTGACTATATTAAAAAAAGAAAATCCTAATGCATCCTAATGAGCAGTTTTTAATTGGATGTTAAGCAGAGTATCTCGATGGTAAAAGTTTTCTAGTTTTTTGTTCACTTCTGCAAAACATGGCACTTCTGAGAATGATATTTATGTTTTTTCTGAAGTGGGAATACGTCTTCCAGGTCATATGTTTTTTTTTCTTGAGTTGTATGTTCTTCTGTACTTCATGAAACTACCTGAAGTTTCTGAAGACTATACCTGGTAGCTTGATGCTTAGTGATGCACTGAAGTCCTAATAACCTGTAATAAATTGTGCATGGAACTGTAAGCTATTAAGTTACTTATGTGAGTAGTGATATTATATACATGGCAATAGGTATCTACTATAATAGTGGAACTTTTGAATTTTCTGTTGTGTTTTAAACTGACCTGTACTTCAGCACCACACAGCCATTCGCTTTGCTTGCCTGCAACAGTATGAGATGGAGAATGAAAAAAATGTAAAAGAGCAAGACTTGTGGTTTGAAGTAAGAACAGTTTAAAATGTATGGGGTAGAAAACAAAGAAAACCCTACAAGAAATAATACAAAAACAAATGGTGTACAGTACTTCCTTACCACCAGCTGACTGATGCTGTGCCAGTACCCTAGCAAAGATGACTCCCTTTAGTTTTTTTTTGTTCAGACTGACACAGAATTATAGAATCACCAAGGTTGGAGAAGGGTTCCAAGATCATCTAGTACAAACATCTACATATCACCAATATTTCCTTACTAACTCATGTCCATTAGAACCACATCTAAATGTTTCTTGAACACCTCCAGGGACAGTGACTCAACCACCTCCCTTGGCAGCCCTTTCCAGCACCTGATCACTCTTTCTGAGAGGAAATTTTTCCTGATATCCAATCTGAATCTCCCCTAGCACAACTTGAGGCCACTTCCTCTAGTCTTAATGCTAGTTACATGGGAGAAGAGGCCAACTTCCACAGATAGTGATGGAGAAACCTTAAAAGGCGATAAACAACAGGAGCTGTTCTGAAGGCTTCATCATATGGTGTGGAATGTTCCTCTGGTCAGTTTAGGTCAGCTCTCCTTGCTCTGTCCCCTCCTAGTATCTTGTGCACTCCTAGCCTCCTCATTGTCAAAGCAGTGTAAGAATCAAATTTTGTAAACACTGCTCAATTGATGTGTTATCAGTGTTATTCTCATCTTAAATCCAAGACACAAGTACCATTCTAGCTGGTATGAATAGCAGCCAACATGAACATTATCGCATCTGAGACAGAATGCTATCACAGCTGTTTGGTGGTAAATTTAGATGATATATTCCAGTGTATGTTTCATATTTTACTCATTTTTTCCTATTTTCTTTCCACTTTGCCCTTGACTCATACTGAGAATATGTCAACAAGAGTACTGCTGGCAGGGATGTAAATTTCTTCATCTGTATGTCACTATTCCAAATCTGTGAAAGACTTGGCAGCATCAGTTTACATTTTGCACATCTATCTTTACTGCAGATACAGTACATAGTAACAGGCATAATAAATTATCAATATTTTTAATACTTAGCTAGCACTGTCTAGTCAGAAATTCCCATTTGTATTCTTAGATTTTGTTGCTCATTGCCTTGTATTCTACATATAAGGGAACAATCTAGATAATCTGATCACATTGTGCACATTTGACAAAGATGAGTGTTGAAATCTGACTCCAAACATTCATAATCTTATATCTGAATGAAGATACAATTTGTATGACCTTCCTTATATGCGTGATTTTTTCTTTTTAAATGCAAAAAAAAAAAAAAAATTGGTATTGTTTGGGCTGTTCATTTGTAAGCTGGAAAATTTTCTGGATATAGCTTTCTACTTTCTCTAGTGCTAAGCTATCAAGTAACTCTGGCACTGAAACCTGATAGCTCAAATTTATAGACAAAATTGACCTGGTGGTGTTTCCTGATGTGACCTAATGTGGGAAGGTGAAAACAATCTTGGTGTTGTGGTGGAGCAAGACTAAAACTTTTACTCCTGAGCAGCTTAGCTGTTCTCAAGCATTTTAAACCTATGCTTAGTTGAGTATACTTCCCTTAACCAAAGGGAAAAGAGTACAGACCACCAGTGCAACTTAAAAATATTTGAACAAGTAAACATAGAAAGGTGTGATGTGCATGAAGCAAACTAGACCTGCTTCTAGTGGAGATGCTGTATCTAGAAGTAAAATTGCACATCTCTAAGTGTGACTTAAGTATACTTAAAGCGGTGCTGGTTGTCATCAGGAGGAATCACTGCTAAGAATTTTTTCAAGAAATAGATTCAATTGCACAAAGACAACCTAAATATAATTAGAAATTAGTTAATTGGTCATAACTATGTGGAAAAATGCACAAGTCTTTAGTAACATGAAAAGTGGTGTGGTATTTTTTTGACAAAATCTGTAGTTCTGCAAGTCCTGTGGATGCTTCAGCATTGTACTTTTCTCAAATGTTCCTGCCTCTTTGAAGCTTTTGTGAATGCTGAAACAACAAAAAAGCTTTTGCAGATCCCGTTTCCAAAAGCTTTGAGCAAGAAGTGCTTCAAACACTTCAAAGTGCTTTAAGTCACTTCAAGCAAGTGACTTAAGGCTTTTCAATTTCATGAAAACTTTTGTTTTGTTATAAACAAAAGTACTGTATCTTCTTTAGTAGATCTTCAGAACTCTCTCCCCTTTTTTTTAAGACAAAAGATAAAGAGGGAGGAACTAGATTACTGGCTAGTGGAAACTATTTTACTGCTGTCTGTGGTGATGGAAGCAAACTAAGTGATAATATTTGAGGGATGCAATTGGTATTAATCAAAAGACTCGAAAAATAAAGCTTCTTAATGTTACCTAAAACATAGGGTCATAACTCTGGGCTCAGTTCCTCTCTGCTCTTACATATACTTATTGCGTAACCTAACTTACTAACAGAACCCAAATCTGTGTAAAATATGATGAAAATGTTAATTCTGATGTCAGTGTTTATTCTTTTGTGCATATTAAGTGAAAGTTATGCATAGTCATTTATTGTGTTTTGATAATGGAGTTTATTCCCTAGAAGAAATGAGTGTTAGTGGGCTGTAGGTAGTTTCAGAATTCTAATAAATAGGAGAACATACTATGTTGATTCTGTTCTCTCCTTTGAGCTGATTTGTGTATTTGTTTTTCTGCAGTTCCTAAAGCTCCAGTGATTGATTTGTCAGCATGTCTAGTCATTGATAACTGTATAACAGTATCATGGAGAATGCCTGAAGAAGACAGCAGAGTTGATCACTTTGTACTGGAATATAGGAAAACCAACTTTGATGGCCTTGCTCGTGTTAAAGATGAACAGTCTTGGGAACTGATAGACTATATTAAAGCTACTGAATATACATTATCAGGTAAAGGCTGTTTATGCTTAAAACCTAAGAATATTGATGTAACTTTTGCTTTGAAGCTTTGCAGAGTATCCGTTTGTTTGTATGTAATGAAGTGTCATTTGTTTCATTTTGGTCTTGGATGCTTTGAACAGTGACAGCTCTTTCTCATATTTGGAGTATGATGTTTTATAAAAACTCACCTTTTAAATTAAGTTCATGGTGATACATTTTTTTTTTTCCAAATTGAAATAAATGAAAGACTGCAATATGAAATAGATCTTAGTCATGTAAAGTTGTCAATGGTTAATCTCAATTCCGTTTTCTGAACATCTACTTTTTTAGGTCTAAAGTTTGATACAAAATATATCAATGTTAGAGTACGAGCTTGCAACAAAGCTGTGGCAGGGGAATACTCCGATCCTGTGACTCTGGAAACAAAAGGTAAAATATGGGAAGACTTCAACCTTGTCTTATATTGTAAAAAGCATAGAATGGTTGGAAGGGACCTTAAAATGCACTCAGTTCCAACTTCCTTGCTACGGTCAGGATTGTCCCCTATCAGATAAGGCTGCCCAGGACCCCATCCAGCCTGGCTTTGAGAACCTCCAGGGATGGGGTACCCACAGCTTCTCTAGACAGCTGTGCCAGGGCCCTCACCATCCTCTTAAGTAAATTTCTTTGTCAGCATCTAACCCAGATCTCCCCTCTTTTAGTTTAAAGCCATTCCCCCGGTGAAAAAGTCAGTCTCCCTTCTGTTTGTAAGCTCCCTTTAAGTAATGCAGTGAGATCTTCCTGGAACCTTCTCCAGACTTAACAAGCCCACCTTACTCAGCCTGTCTTTGCAGAAGAGGTGCTCCTGCCCTCTGATAGTATTTATGGATATTTTAACTTTGTAGCTCTAGGTTCTGATCATGGTAATTATTCAAAAAACAAGCAGCTCCAAATTGAGGTAATCTGCAGCTGATGGATTCTTGATGATGTTTTCCAATAAGCTAGAAGAATAATTCCATGGCAGTGATGTTTTGTAAAAGAATGCAATTCTTAATTGTTCTGGTGGAAATAATGATTCTGATACTCAAACTAGTCCAAGTTCTGTACTATAATGGGCAAAATTGCTGATACAAACAATAGATGGACAATTGTTGATGGACAATTAAAATATAAATTATGTTACTTGTAAGCACTAAATAAAAACAAAGTTATATGCAATTTGAATGAAGCAATGTGCATTCTGATAACTTTTTAACTATTTTAATACTTCTAAGCAATGTGTGTTCATATTTTTAATATTTAAATACTTTAGTTACTTACATTCCTTAATCCAGTACCAGAAACGTAATTCTGGTTTTTAGACTGTCTGTGGTATTTTTCTACCTTAACAATGCATCTAGTTTACTTTTTTCAGTAATCAGCCCATAGAAACTCAATATCTGCATCCACATACTTCATGTTTGTTTTTTTTAAACAGGTGCTGTTGAGTTCCAAAATCTTAAAATCTCAAGTATACTTTCAGCATCAGACTGTAATAGCTGATTGTATTAGGATGCTCACAGAACAGTTTATTTATAAGTATCTCTAGGGGACTTAGTATGCTGCATTCATTTCCTTTTCTTGGATAAAGAAGTTGACTGCAGCAAATGCCAAGTCTTTTCTAGTTTCATGCATCCCCTGTTTTCGTATCTGTAATGGACTTCACAGTTTGACTCTAATGTTTTATCCTGACAGTTTTGTTTTCTGCACGATTGTAGTCCTTATTAATCACAAATACCTCATTGGAGAATCAGTGCTGTGGTGCATAGAGAATGAGAATGGCTTTTAAAATCAATCATAACTGTAAGAGTCTAAGTAGGCTGTAACTAGCAGAAAGCACTGGTTGAATTTAATTAGTAAAACTGCAGCATTACAAAGATGAAAAAATATTTTTATATAACCCATACACTAAAGGTAGATTATTGTTCTTTAAGGTGCTTCTTACCTTGATTGCAAACATCAAACTAATAAGTTGATGTTTCTTATAAGTGAAATAATAATGTTATGATTTCTCTACTACTTTCATCATTTTATTTATTTTTTAGTCTCCACCAGAGGGAGAGAATGCTATTTCACTTCACTGTTTCACATTTTGTCTTGACTAGCATTTGTGTTTGATTTGGACAATACTTCATCTCATCTGAACTTAAAAGTTGAAGATTCCTATGTTGAATGGGAACCTACTGGAGGTAAAGGCCAAGAAAAAGTAAAAGGGAAAGAAAATAAAAGCAGGTAAGAACTCTGTAAATATATGTATTGTCTGAAATGATTATCTGGCAATTAAAAAGGGAGAGTGGGGAGAAATTAAATTGACGGTGCAATGGTGGGACATCAAAAGAATTTTCACTCAAAAGTCTTTCTCTGCAAGGAATGTTCATTCTTTGTTTCTCCTCCTCTGTAACAGATGTAGAGGCTATTTCTGGAATCAGTCATAAATGTCTAAAACATTAAGTTGAATATAAGTCTTGGCAAAATAAATTTGCCAAGGCATCAATCAAAGTTCTAAAATAAGATGAAGTAAATGTTGGAAAGTAACTGGTATTCAGCTCTAAAATTGTGTCCAGTAGTTTTGCAGATCAATACTTGTAAAGAGACAGGTTTTCTACTATAAAAATAACTAAGGAAATATATGGCTGCTGTGTCCTTTCGGAAAGCTAAAGTTAAGAATGAAACTGATACTATAAATGATATTTGAATTTATCTCAACTCTTACTGGTAAGGAAGAGGTACCAATAAAACAAACCAGATAGTGGAAGATAAGGATAATAGAACATACCTTTTTAAAAAATGTTTTGGCCTCCTGGAGGTTGGCTTGTTGATTCATCCATGGATGTGGTTGGCCAAATCTGCCACGAGGGCATGTTGCAGACTTGTCCACCAGGACTCCTACCGGTTTTTCTGCAGAATTGCTCTTCTTTCAGCAGTCTCCCAGTCTTTCCTATTATGTGGGGGTTCTTCCACCTGGAAAACCACATCCCCAGCACTGAGCCTGGTGGTCAGATGATTCTCTCCATAGCTTTTAGCCCACTTTGCAGTCCATATCCCACCACTGAAGATATGAAGAGGGAGAGTAGGTCAACAATCTTGCTAAGATAAAGGTGTGAATGGTGTCCATCACTTTTCTATTGCCCATAGAGCTGGTTAATTTTTCCTCAAATTTTTCAACTGGAACTTCAAAGTATAATCAACACTGCTTGAAATAATACGTGAACAAATATGTTCCCCATAGGCATGTACTGCCAGAAGTATGATAATAGTGCTATTTAAAAATGTGGACAATTTATTGTAATAATGGAACAGTTGTTTAATGAATACTTCTATCTGACAGTGGCCGGAATACTGTGCTTAAGAGCAGTAAAAGGTGATAATATACCTCATTCTTAGGATCTAACATCTAGTTTTGTTGTGATTCTTTGCTAAATCCCTTTGCTTGATATAGTGAGCAATCTAATAGCCTTTATCAGTAACAGCTTCTATGTACTTAATACAGTCAAATTCTTAAGAATTTTATAATCACAGATTTTGTATGTTTTCTAGTGACTGGAAAATAGTCCCATAAGAGTACCTCCTGGTGTGCAGGATGTGTGATTTGCAGTAGAAGAATTGTGCCTTCTAGAGTTTATACAAAGTCTCCTGTTATTTACAGATTCATCTATATATAACCAGTATACATCCGTTATATATATTTTTAAACTTCTGCCACATGGTGACTTAATGGTGATTCTGCCAACTGCACTTATTGATAATTTCTGAGAATTTTAAAATAACTTGATATTTTTAGTTCTTATTTTTTAATCCAGCTTCTGAACTTGTATAATAGTTGTCTTGGATCAGGAAAAACATGTTTTCATGTCTCCCAAGATCACAGAGTTTAACCTGATGGTATGTGTAAAAAAAAAAAAAAAAAAAAAAAATTAATGGCAGTTCTACCTACTGAGTCAATTTTTTAAATGAGAAAGCATCATTTTTGTTATGAAAAGGCTTTCATATTCCCTTACTCCTTGTATAACTGTGTTTTCAGTTAGAACTTTTGTTATGATTGTCTATTCAAACTCCTGTCTGAGAAATTACTTTTTTTGCTCTCTTGTACTTTTTCACTGGCTTAGTCGTTGTGGGATCAAAGCAAACGCCCAGGTCTTAATTTCTCATAGACATTACTCTTCTGTGCTATCTATCAGGAGGATACGTTTTTGTTTGATGTGAGCAGTACTGAAAAATACTGTGCACTGCCAATAGTCCTGCAACAGGAAGCTATCAATTTCTGCTGAACTAAGTCTTAAGCCTGCTTCAGGGATTGACTCCTTGCTCTACAAACCTTGGGAGTCTTTGTCTCTTGTTTTTGTAGCTATCAGTGAAGGGCTTCCCTAGTTCTTGCTTTTGGTTTGGTAGGATATGGTCATGTTCAACTGCCTCTCAACTCACCTTTTCTTGCAGGAGATTTAGGATCTTTGATTCATACAGGAGGCTTTTCTTCCCTGTCTAAAAGTACCAGTGCGAAATTCGTCTGTATTAGACGGTATAAAATTTGAAGCTAACTCCACGGTTGGTGAAAAGACTGTGGTAATACTTGTTTTACATGGCAAATAGACATCTTTTAAGGGCTGGAAGGATGTGATGGCCATAAGGTTCTAAATGATCTGTAACATATCTGTAAGACTGTATTAATGTCTTGGACCGGATTGGAAGAGGTTTTGTGCAACCTGATCTGGAGAAAGACATCCTTGCTTATGATGGAGTTGGAAATAGATGGTCTTTAGGTCTCTTAGAACCTAAGCCATTCTGTAACTTCTGATATCTGTCCTTAGTCTTCTCCAAAAGAGAATGAATGTTGCTCAGTCATATTTTTTCACCAAAGAAAACAAGAACTGAGGCTAATTGCTGTACTATAGACATATAAGACTATGATTTTGTTATAGAAGAGTGGAAGAAATACATCAGTTACTCTATTAGCTAATAAAATCTGTACTGCATTAGAAAGAGGGCACCAAACTGACTTACTGCTATAAAATTTCCTGCCTTTCCATTTCTGAAGGGAGAGGTAAGCACTTAAAAACAACTTTAAATATTTTTTTAAAACTTTCATGCTTAATACTGAATGCATTGTCTGAACTGGTAAAGGCTGTTAGATTTAGTTGAGAAAGCCCGTGCACGTGGCCATTTAAAGAAGATCTGAAAGAAATTATACTGAAGACTTTTTAATGTATTCCTGACTTTGGCAAAATTCTAGCAAAGTACCTGCTTTTCTTACAGTCATTCTCTAAGTGGCCACGCTTGCTTTCTGCCTAACTCAGTTATACCTAATCTTGCAGAAAAATTTCAGCGGCTTTTGTTGGATATGCAAATGAATGGTCTCTATTTAAAGCAGGATGGATTCTGCAGTGTTTTCCCCTGAAATTATGCTTTAATTCTTGGTTTTGCTTTGTTTTGTTTTTTTTTTATGCAACTGCTTGCTTCTTTTTTCTTTGGTAAGTAAACTACAAGTTTTCACATTAATAACATTGAAAGGCTTTTGATGTAGTTTGGATCACTGCATGCTACTCACCTGGTTCATGTAGTTCTTGCAAGCAATTTAGAAGGTTGGCTAGTTTCAGATCAGTATTGCTAATTTATATGCTAGGTTGTGGTGCTAAAAATAATCATCAGTTTGAGAGCAGTGATTTCTTGAAGGCTTCCTTGACTAGATCAAAATAAGTGAAGATGAACAAGATATTCTAGCATATTTTTAATGATTGTTTAATACCAATCAGCTTTTGATTGCCACCTGACTTTATTTAAATTTTGATACTAGGCAAAAGAGGCCTTTCTGACCCTTTATGAAGTGGTATTTGAGAACAATTCCAGAATGAATCAGAACAGTAACAAGCTCAATTTCACTGTACTTGTACTAGATATTTAAAAATAATTAGCATTACCAAAGTGTAGCTGAACTAGAAAGTTAAAGGGAAAGCATCCTTTTTTGTATATAAGCTCATGTATGCTAGACTCTGGGGGTTGTGGATTTGGAGATCTCCCTGAAATATGTCAGAAGTAATATGCTTTCTATAATGTTTAAATTTTGTCAGTGAAATTAAAGCTGCAAGCTACATAGCTGCTTCTGAGAAGTTAAACTTTTTTGCTGCTAATTACTTTTAAAGTGAAACCCAACATGGTTTTCTGACTACCAAGGTTTAATGTTCACTGTAGTTTGCTAATAGCTTTCATTTTGTTTAATGATTAAATTTTTAGGAATTATATTTTGAAGGGATAACAAAGGTAAAGGAAAATGTTTGGAAATCTCATGGGTTAAAAATTACTCTCTGAAACAACTGATTGCTTATTAATATGTTCTCCAGTACAAAGTTTTCTGCGTTTATTTTGTTATTAATTCTTAAGGGAGATTTTTCTGATCATACTTAATCAAAAGCAAAGCCTTTCTTGATTAGGATTAGACTCTTAAATTTTATAAAGATTCCTATGGTGTTGCTGTGTGCTCCTCAGCACAGTGTGTTATGGCAAAGCTTAATTTTGTGTGGTCTTTGAAAGACTCAGTAAATAAATAAAATTCCTTCTTGTTGAATATATATCTTTGATATTTAATTTTTTTTTTGAGGAGGGTTGTGCTACATTAAACTCTGGAAGTCTTGCTTCAGCTCTTTTAATTCTGCTTAAATTTGATATTCCTGAGTTTTTATCATCTTTAGTGTGTGATTTTTGAAATTACAGTTATTGTTTTATTCCTTTTGTAGTTCTTCATTGGGTTGCACTCTTTCTTGGGATTTCTTTCACAGTTTATCCAAGCAATATGTATTCTGAAAAACCTGTCTTTAAGATAAGACTGGTGTTATTTTCTCCATTCACTGATACTGAAATTTAGGTATCTTTGCATTGAGTATCAGTAGTGCATTCGTACTCAACTGTTGTATCTGATTCATGTGGTTTATTAGAAATCTTATCCAAAAAATAAGCAGTCCAAGGTTCTGAATATTCCAGGCAAAATACTGACTTATGTAGAAGTCTGTGTGCCACACATCTACTTTTTTCCATCTATTTCCTTTTCTCTGAACTTGTTGTATCTTTTTTTTTCCTGGTTGTCATGTTTTCCATCTCAGTTTTTGTGCATGTGTACTAGCTGACTACTAGTTTTGTGTTGCTAGTGGCTGAACTTGACTCTGCCATCTCAGTAGCTTGTGTATGTTTTTTTGTAACATAATTGGCTCTTGCATAGGAAGACTTGTTTTGATGTGTATTGCTGTAGTAGTGTGCAAATGTTGAACGGTTCTTTTCTTAGAAGTGGTGCATCTCCGAAGAGGACATCTACTGGTGGAAAGGCCACAGTGAAAGGCAGCAGAGATCGCTTTGCTGGTGAATCATACACTGTGTTAGGTAAAGTGAACTTTTTTAATGACTTTGAAGTCAGATTAGATAAGAATCAGAGGATAAATCTGAGTTCGTTCAAGGCTGTGTACTTGATGCTGCCCCACACAGGGGTAGTCTTGCTTATTTAGCACCAGAATTTTGAGCTAGACCAAGTGGCTTCAGGTCTTTTGAAGTCCTCTGTTACAAAGCTCTTAGTGACTGGCATTCACAGCTTTTCAACACGAGTTAATGTTAAATGTATCTTGTCTTAGTGGATATAAGTAAAAACTGTCTCCTTTTTCTGCTTTATCTCTTATCTACTTACATTTTTTTGTTCAGATTTTTGTTTCAAAGTCTTTACTGTAAAGAAGCTAAAATAGGGGAAACCTAACTGATGCCTATAAGGAAGCGAAAATTGTTAGATACAAATATAGCAACTAAATGTATTTTTTAATAGGAAATAATGCTATTGAAAGCGGTCAGCACTACTGGGAAGTGAGAGCACAGAAGGACTGCAAATCCTACAGTGTGGGCGTGGCGTATAAAACCCTGGGGAAATATGATCAGCTGGGAAAGACTAACATAAGCTGGTGCATCCATGTCAACAACTGGCTGCAAAACACATTTGCAGCGAAACATAATAATAAGACCAAGACACTGGATATACCTGTTCCAGACAGATTAGGAGTATACTGCAACTTTGATGGAGGTAAACTGCAATTCTATTAAATTGAGCTAAAAAGCTTATTTGAATAATAGTGTCTAGCTGAAGCAATGCAAGGCAAAGTAGTACATTACTGATGCTTCTAATTGATGGTCTCTTACAAAAAGAGACAAAGCTGTTCATGTGGTAATGCTTATGTCAAATGACCCGAGTTCATCTATATGACACAGCTGCTGAGAAATTTTCAGTCGTAGAATAAACTAATTCTGTTCTAGGAAAATTATTCCAGATGTTTTCCTGGAAAAGTACCAAACTTGCAGAAAGTTAGACAGCAGCAGCATTAAACATGTCTTTCAGCTTGCTTTCTGCCTCTTTCAGGTCAGCTCACGTTTTACAACGCAATCTCAAAGGTGCCGCTACATACCTTCAGGATGAAGTTTACACAGCCATTGTTACCAGCCTTTATGGTCAGTATCCAAAACTTTGATCCCTTTCTAAAATTGAATATTCACTTTGCTGAAGACTAATAGCTGTGCTTTAAGGGTGGAAACATGGATTACTGCTTATGAAGAATACTTAAATGTTCCCTTTTTTATTTCACACAGTGCTTACACTATAGCCTGACACTTCTCTGGGGCAGACTCTTGACTACAGACGTCTCAACTATAAGACGCTTCATCTTTATAAAAATCCTTATAAATTCATTGTGTGTTTTGTTAGCTGATGATCCTGCTACAATAATTGATCCAAACTGATGCAGATGAAAGCCCAATATGCTAAAAGCTGCCACAGCAGATTTCATGAGATAAAACTAGATTAAATGCATCCCTCTGAAATAAAACATTCTGGCTTTCAAATGTTTAAAGCAGTGGGATTTTCTTGCTAGTCGTTTCACTGGTCTGCATGCCTTTTTTTCTGCCAATAAGCTAATCAACAAAAACTTGTTTTAATTGTGAAAATTCAAATCTGCAAAAATGCAGGAGAAGAGAATAAGTTACTGCATATTTGTTTTCCCTTTAAGGGCTTTGAACAAGTGGAGTTGGAGGCCTTAGCTGCATTATAAGCTGCCTACCAAGCACGTCATATTTGGGGAGCAGGATATAGGCCTGGGAGAACTTTAGGCATCTGAGAAGGCTGTCACTTTATTTCATAGTAACAACTCAAGTGCCTGGACAATAGCAGGTGGGTTGGAAATAGATGAGCTTTAACATCCTTTCCAACCCAAGCTATTCGATGATTATTCAGAATTGGCTTCTGATCAGAATGTTTCTGTGTGATGACTACAGAGAAAGAGAAGACAAATGCAGCTGTGGGTTAAGTTTTGTCATTTCCACTATGGGAGGGGAGAACAGAAATATAACTGCTTCATAATGTTTAGATTATTTGTGAATATTTTTTTTCCTTTCTCTTTCAGATCTGGTGTGGTGGTCTTGCAGTAAGTACTGGTTTGCAGGTGCCAAGTGTCTTCACTGCACTCCAGGAAAATGAAAATGGATTAAGCAGATCAACTAGTAGTCTAAATAATATTGCCCAGTAATGTCTACTGAACACTATTGTATTATTGAATGTTTTTTTCAGTGCAGCTGCTATGCACTGAAACTTGAGAATTTGTTTGAAAAATGGGTGGGAAAATCAAGAGCTGTAGCTGTGTACTTTTCTATTACTGTACTTAAGCATTTTGTTATGGACTTGAATATTAATTTTGTTACAAATATTTTTCTATGAAGAATATAACAAATAGTATTTTTTTTAGCTCTCTCAGCAAGAATTATTTGACTATAGATTAATACCATTGGTCTTCTCATACAAACATGAGATAAGCAGGTATTTTAAAAGAATATCTATGCATGTAAGAGATTGTGGGGTAGATATGAAGAAATAGAGCAATCTGTGCTTTTTTTCTGATTTAAAAAAATATATCCAAAACTAACACCTAATTTACTTTTGGATTGGAAGTCATATTTTCTTCCACAAATCACATAAAATGATGGTTTTTTATCTTAGTTCTTACCTGGAAGTTTAATAGTAGTTAAATGATTTATTAGTGGGAGAGCTTTAAAAAAAAAAAAAGCCAACTAAAAAACAGCAGCAACAAAAAAGGCATGTTATATTCTTTGTGGAAAGAGTTAATATTTCAGTGAGAATTATTTGTATATCATTGACTGTTAAAAATAATCTGCTTGCTTCCCTCTAATCACATCCAAGAGCTTAGAAATAATTTTTTCAGATACATAATAGGACTGCTTTGAAAGTAATGCCTCCTAGTTTATTGTGTTGGCCCGCAGTGTCAGAGAAGGTGGAATAGTAGTAGAGATTAAGCTTGGGAAGGAATAACCACATGCATCAGTATAGATTTGGGACTGGCCTCCTGCAAAGGAGAAAGGAGCTCTGCAGAGAATGCCCTGGGTGTCCTGATGGACAACAGGTTGGCCATGAGATAGTGTGCTTTTGTGGCCAAGAAGGCCCATGGTAACCAAGGCCCCAATAAAAAGAACTTGGTCATCAAATCAAGAGAGGTAATTCTCCCCCTCTACTCTTCCCTGGTGAGGCTATGTCTAGAGTAGTGTTCTGGGCTCCCCCAGTACAAGAAAGAAGAGGAAACTACTGGAGAGAGTCCAGCAGAGAGCTACAGAGATGATCAAGGGTCTGGAGCATCACCTGTATGAAAAAAAGGCTGAGACACCTGGAACTGCTTAGTCTGGAAAAGGCTGAGAGCATCTTATCAACACTTACAATATCTAAAGGATGGGAGTCAAAGAGGATGGGCCCCAGGTCTTTTTGGTGGTGCCCAGCAACAGAACAAGGGGCAACAGGCACAAGTGGGAACAAAGGAAGCTCAGTCTGAACACAAGGAGAAACTTCTTTGCTTTGGGAGTGGCAGAGCACTGGAACAGGCTGCGCAGAGAGGTTGTGGAGTCTCCCCTGGAGATTTTCAAAACACACCTGGATGCTTTCCTGTGCAACCTGTTGTAGGGAACCTGCCTTCTCAGTGAGTTGGAATGAATGGTCTCCAGAGGTCCCATCCAACTTAGTTCTGTGTAGTTCTGTGATTATGACAATATCCTTAAATGAATGGCATCTGAAACTATCACATAGACAGTTGTTACTATCCAATTCTCAAGTATTTCTTCCTTATTTCATTAGTCTTTTTTGTTGCAGTGAACATCTGAGTAGAGCTGAATTGCAAAGATGTCATTGTCATATAAGATTTGCATGCCTGGGCCCTGGTGGTGTTTAGAGAGAAAAAGATTATGATGGTTGCTTCTTATTTTGAGACTTATTCTTTTGGCTGTGGTTAATAGACATCTAGCCAAGCGCCTGTTCCTACTACCCAGACATCTGCTTGATTTTGAATGTTCAACTACAGTTTCTATTTAAATTTACCCTACTATATATATTAATTTTTCTTTCCAGAGGAGAAAGTGTGTAATGAGAAACAACATTGAGTAATCTCTAACTCTGTAATGAGAGTGTAATAAGAGAGGTCACAAGGTGTCTCCCAGGGCTTGGTACTGGGACCACTTCTATTTAACGTCTTTATTAATGATCTTGATGAGGGGATTGAGTGCACCCTCAGTAAATTGGCAGACAACACCAAGCTGGGAGGGGGCGATGATCTGCCTGAGGGGAGAAAGGCACTACAGAGGGACCTGGATGGACTGGATTGATGGGCTGAGTTTAACTGTATGAGTTTCAATAGGGCCAAGTGTTGTGTCTTGCATTTTGGTCTCAGTAACCCCAGGCAACCCTACAGGCTTGGGCAGGAGTGGCTAGAAAGCTGCCTGATGGAAAGGGACCTTGGTATACTGATGGACAGTCAGCTGAATATGAGCCAGCAGTGTGCTCAGGTGGCCAAGAAGGCCAATGGCATCCTGGCTTGTATCAGGAATGGTGTGGTGAGCAGGACTAGGGAACTAATCCTGCGCCTGTATTCGGCACTGGTGAGGCCTCACCTTGAGTACTGTGCTCAGTTTTGGGCACCTCAGTACAGAAAGGACATGGAGGTGCTGGAGCAGGTCCAAAGAAAGGCAACAAGGGTTGTGAAGGGCTTGGAGAATATGCCCTATGAGGAGAGACTGAAGTAACTCGGGATGTTCAGTCTGGGGAAGAAGAGGCTGAGAGGAGACCTTATTGATCTCTTCCAATATCTGAATGGTGCTTACAGCGAGAGTGGGGTTGGTCTCTTCTCACTGGTGATAGGTGACAGGATGAGGGGAAACGGCCTCAAGTTGCACCAGGGTAAGTTTGGGTTGGATATCAGGAAACACTTCTTTACAGAAAGGGTTGTTAAGTACTGGAATTGGCTCCTCGGGGAGGTGGTTGTGTTTAAAAACTGTTTGGATGTGGTGCTCAGGGACATGATTTAGCAGAGGGTTGTTAGAGTTAGGGCAGTATGGTTAGGTTGTGGTTGGACTCAATGATCATTAAGGTCTTTTCCAACCTGAGCAGTTCTATGATTCTGTGAAGAGCAGTACAAAGGGAAGTGATGTTCCCCTGTTCTGCTCTACCCTTGTGAGGCCCCATCTGGAGTACTGAGTCCAGGCCTGGAGTCACCCAGCAGAAGAAAGATATGAAATTCTTGGAGCAAGTTCTGAGAAGGTCACGAAGTTGATGAAAAGGATGGAGTACCTCTCCTATGAAGAAAGGCTGAGGGAGCTGGACTTCTTCAACCTGGAGAAGAGAAGGCTCTGGGGAGACCTCATTGCAGCTCTCCCATAGTTCAAATGCAACAAGGAGATCAACTTCTTACATGGTCTCCAAGTGATGAGACATGGGGGAATAGCTTTAAACTAAAGGAAGAGAGATTTACCTTAAATGTCAGGGCAATTTACTCAGAGGGCGGTGAGGCCCTGGCACAGCTGCCTGAAGAAGCTGTGGTTGCCCCATCTCTGGTGGTGCTTAAGGCCAGGTTGGAGATGGGGCCCTAGGCAGGCTGAGCTGGTAGGGGGCAGCCCAGTGCAGAGTTTTGGAACTGAGTGGGCTTTAAGATCCCTTTCAACCTCAACTATTCTAGGATTCTATGATTTTAATTATGAGATTGTTTCAGAAAGCTGTAGTGAAAACAGATGATGTAGTGAAAATGGATGATGACGGAATTGAGTGCACCCTTGCACCCTCAGCAAGTTTGCTGACGACACCAAGCTGAGTGGTGCAGTTGACACAGTTGAAGGACGGGATGCCATTCAGAGGGACCTCGAGAGGCTAGAAAGGTGGGCCCGGGTGAACCTGATGAGGTTCAACATGGCAAAGTGCAGAGTTTTGCACTTGGGCCGGAGGAATCCCAGGCATCCCTACAGACTGGAAGGAGCGGTCCTTGAGAGCAGCCCTGTGGAGAAGGACCTGGGGGTCTTGATAGATGAAAAACTTAATATGAGCCAGCAGTGTGCCCTTGTGGCTCGGAAGGCAAATGGTATCCTGGGCTCCATCAAAAGAGGGGTGGCCAGCAGGGACAGGGAGTTGATTGTTCCCCTCTACTCTGCTCTTGTGAGGCCCCATCTGGAGTACTGCGTCCAAGTGTGGAGCCCCAGTACAAGAAAGACAGGGAACTGTTGGAGAGCGTCCAGAGGAGGGCCATGAAGATGATCAGGGGACAGGAGCACCTACCCTATGAGGACAAGCTGAGGGAGCTGGGCTTGTTCAGCCTGGAGAGAAGAAGGCTGCGGGGTGACCTCATTGCAGCCTTTCAGTACCTAAAGGAACCCTACAAACAGGAGGGGAATCAACTCTTTGAAAGGGTAGATAACAGCAGGACAAGGAGAAATGGTTTTAAGTTGAGGGAGGGGAGATTTAGGTTGGACGTCGGGGAAATTCTTTACAGAAAGAGTGGTGAGGTGCTGGAACAGGCTGCCCTGAGAGGTTGTGGATGCCCTGTCCCTGGAGGTGTTCAAGGCTAGATTAGATGGGGCCCTGGGCAGCCTGGTCTAGCATTAGGTGGGAAGGTTGGTGGCCCTGCGTGTGGCAGGGGAATTGGAGCTTCATGATCCTTGAGGTCCCTTCCAACCCTGGCCATTCTCTGATTCTGTGAAAACCTGTAAGGTAAACTTGATTATACATGAAGTGTTAAAATGTATGAGGGCTCCTCAGAAAGTAATACCTCCTATTTTATTATGTTAACCTATGGTGACAGAAGCAGATGATGGTGGTATGGCAGTAGATATTGAATCTTCCAGGCAAAATTTTGTTGTTATATGAGAAATGGCAGTAGAGGGGCAGTCTGACAGAATGGTGTCTGACTTGGAAGTGGGAATGAAGCAAAGGTGTGTCATTGAATTCCTCCATGTGGAGATAGTGGCACCCACTGACATTAATCGACACTTGCTGAATGTGTATGGAGACCAAACAGTGGATGTGAGTAAAGATGAGGCAGTGAGTGGTGTGTTTCACCAGTGGCCATAGAGGGTCACTTCTGCTAGAGCAGATTTTTACAAGCCTGCATGCTGCACTCTTGCTCACAGTTAGAAAAAAAATGCATAGCTAATGGTGGTGATTGTATTGAAAAAGTGTTTTGTAGCTGAGAATGTGCTCTATCAAATAGTGCTATCTTTGTA